GCCGATCTCGGACCGCTATTCCTCTCTTAACGAATTTGACAGAATCGTTGTTTGCATGACGTCACACTTGTGCAACTTGTTTACGTTTTCCTTGCAACATTTTTTCTTCTTCTTCCATTCTTGCTCACGTTTTGGCATTTCTCTCTCGCAATTGCACCAGTGTGACGTCACACAAAAGTTATTCTCAAAAATCCTCTCTGATCGGCGCAATCTTGTATTCTATCATTCTTGCTATATATATTTATGTACTTATATGAGTTCCACATATGCACTAACTCTCACTATCGCTCAACATGTTTGTTACTCAATAAAGTCAGTCTTCAACTTGCACTGAGTGTTTATGCATATACGGTAGAATATTCTCGTTACAACATTTGAGTTTGAGTTTGAGAATTACATAATTATTCAAAAATATACTGAAAGTGAAAGTACTTAAAAAAGTATTTAAGAAAATGACATTAGTTTACACAATTTATTCATTTAATATGTTGGCTCTGAATCGCACACAGTTAACAACATTGAGGTACGCCATGCTGACTGTAAATTGATCGTTCAATGGGAATATATGCATTGTATTGCTTTCAAACTCTTTTATAAGGGGTCCAAGGTAGTAGTCCCTAAAGGAATAATAAATTGAGCACTTGAAGACAAGCTGCTCGAGGCTTTCCATTTGACCTAGATTGCACTGCATACATAAAGCATTTGGGTATATTTTGTAAACAGGCCTTTGATATAAAACCTTCGTGGGCAAGCGAACTTGAGCTAAAATTTTACTCAAAATTCCATGCAAAATAAATTCCCGCCAGAGCACATTCAGATAACAGATATTTTCGCCTCTAATTATATTCTTCCGCACTTTCAACTCATTCACAATTGAAATTAACACACATGCAGTGTAGCTACTTTGCTAGAAATCACTCAAAACGTCAGGAGTTTTTCACTATTCGCAAAGAATTTAATAAAGGAACTTGGCCAAAGATTTCTTTTTGCCACAATGACATGTTCACAATGATATATGAGTTGCCATTTCTCCTTGTTTAAAAAAAGTTTCTAAAATTTTTTCGCGAGCAATGTAGTCTGAAATATTGGTATTTATTTGACTATCGTCCAATTGTACCTAAATTGAGCTCAGTGTACCGAATGTACCTTTTGGTTTGAAAAATTCGGAAAAAGGTACACTCAGAAAAAACATTCCTTGATGCTAGGAAAAAAGTATATTATTTTACGGAAATATTACCTTGAAATGGCTCCAAAGACATGGCTGCCTTAATATGAGTAAACGATTTGACTCAGTTTAACACAATTCCTTAGTTTTCAGTACTATTTTGTTCTTTCTTAAGAAAAATTAACTTGCCGTGAAAGGAATAAACCAGCAAAAAACCCGATTACCACAGAAACGAAAGTGGAAACGAGCTAGGCGATGGGAATCGCTTACCCTTTCGCTTCAAGAAGGCCTTCTTTTAACCTGGGCATGTCATTGGCGGTAAGCCCCTACCCGCAGCATTACCTTCAAACGAAGGGAGAATGCATGGATAAACAGAATCCAGAAAAGCGAACAAAGAATGCCTTACAGACAATCTAATGTAGAATGCCTAGATAAGTACATACTTATTTATATTAAATTGAAATCAGAAAATGTCTTAAAAGATTAAAATTAATTAAAATTTGTATAAATCAGTTTTTATACAAACATATGTATGTATTTAGGTATTTAGATTTTACTTAAAAATCGGTATGTACATACATGCACATTTAATTAAGCTTAAAATTGTACTTCCTCACTCTTGTACTTCACTCCATTGACTGACTTCAACTTCGTTGCAAATTGAACAAAGCAAAACATGATTTTTATGCGAGACAAATTTCCACAGAAAGTAACGGTAGAAAAAAAATTTTTGGATATTCATTCTATTTTTCAGCTGACTACGATGTAGCATCCTACTTTGCATTTTCCAAAATGAAGCAATATTATAGGACATTCTACTTTGTATTCCCCGAAATGAAACAAAGATGCGAAATAAATAAAATATTGTAGGACATTCTACTTTGCGTTACCGGCAATGCCTAAAAGAAGCGAAAAAATTTGAAGGCATTATACCGCTATGCCTTCTAGAACACGTTACCACTAAAAGCGATTACCGATTTTTTGCTGGGAAGTATGTCATTTTGCTCGCGCCGCTTAAACAGTCGCAATGGCCGACAGAGTAAAACTGTGGAGTGCTAGTCGAGAGATGCAAGGTTCGTTTCCAACAACTTTTTTTTTTAATTTTTTTTTTTTTAATTTTTTAAATTTTATTTAAAAAAAAATTTATCTAATTTATTTTTTATGGTATTTGAGTATGTATTTATTTAGGTTTTACCATATTAATTTTACAATTTTTAATTTGTATTTAAATTGAAATAATTTACTTTCCTTACTCTAAGCACCTCCAACCGGACTCGATCCTCCGATCTCGGAACTAGAAGAAGTAGTCCTCACGCGAAGCCACAGCTAACATTTGCCAGGAAAGCAATTAACTTCGTCTTAACAGCACTGACAACATTATTTCTTATATTGAGAAAAATTTACTTCCTCAAATTAATGACGCAGTATTAGGTGCGTTCCAGCGATTTTTGGACTAAAACCTGTAGAACTGTCAAAAAGCACAATATCTCTCATAAGAGAGAGCAATGGTCGAAGAACTGAGAAAAAATGCTGGAACGCAAAAAAACATTTTTCCTGCGGGTATATAAATGTCAGATATTTGTTTACAAAATTATTAATTCAGGCAAAAATTCTGACACACAACATTTTAATTCTCAAAATATTTCGTTATTTTGGTACAATTGGCTTCTATTCTGCTAAAAATATTTCTTATAAATTGCATCAGCGCTTTCACTTGTTGTTTACAAATGCAACACTGCTCTTCATTTGACAGTTTCATTTATTTGCAGGAAGAAAAACTTCGGACTAAATCCTGCAACTTCTTACTGAAAGTAAGCATATTTTACTCTCACGAAAGTGCACTCAGTTACAGGAAATTGGTCTTCTCGAACGCTTTTCGGACTAAATCCTGCACAACCTGCAAATCGTACTGCTGCTGGAACGCAACTATTTTTATCATGAAACTGAATTAAGGAAAAACTTCTAAAATTGAGTAAATTTTTCGTACTATTAAGGAAAAAACAATAACTCTAAAACAAGGAAATTGGGTTCTTGTTTTAAGGAATTGTACCTACTTTTCCATCCCTGGCGCAGACATATATCCAAGAGAGATATCAAATTTTGTTGTTAAAAACTTTGACGAATTGCGTACAATTGAAACCACATGTTTGAAGCCTGCGCAAATTGATGTGAAAATTTCAATTCTATATTAAATATACATATAAAGTTTTTCTTTCGCCAATAATCGTAAAATCCGATTTGTGAGTGCACATATATATGTATGTATATAACGGGCTGTGTTAAGTATGTGAAAAAAATTAATACAATTATCAAAAAAAGTTATCAATAAAAATTCGTTTCTCTTATAATCAACTTATATGGCTACATATGTGCATGCATACATATTCCCAAAATTTTTTATTTGTAAAGGCCTGTCTGCAGCTCTCAAGAAAACTAAATGAAGAATTTATATACTGCTACACCGGCAAACATAGCTGACCGCGAAAAAGAGTGTACGCGTCTTTTTCCGCCGTCAACTATGTTAAGAGTCTTTCTTCAGTGAAGTTGTTTATGCATCTTTTTTCGCGGTCAACTCTTGAGCTCGCGCCTTTATTCGTGTCTCGTGACGACATATTCTGCCTTATTCTGAGTTTCGCCCGAAAAAAATTCCCCCGAAAATTTGTATTCCGCCCATAGTAAATACATGGAAACCAAAAGTGAAAGTGGTTCGGGTAAAATGAAACTCATGATAATGCTGATTTACTTTAAACTACTTTCACTTTTTTCAGACTTTACCTTTCCCAATAACTTTTGAAATTTTTAATTCACCACTCATAATTGTATTTTGTATAGCACCATTGCTTAAGTTGTTGCTTGTAACATCTGATTTGTTGGTTAATGACTGCAAATAGTTTTATACCAAATTAGAAGCCACAGGAGTACAATGGGTTATAGTTACGGTGACCATTCGTACCGATTTTGAGAAAATTGTCACGCTGAATATTTTTTAAAAGTCGGGACGCATAAGTGTCCCGATTTTTCATATTTGTACCACCTAAGTCCCGATTTTCAGTGCTTTCTTTATTAATTTAATAGGAGTTTATTATTAGACGAGAAATTTAAGCTATTAGCTTATTTTGTATGGAAGACTTAGCCAACATAACTATATTGGCCAAGTCTTCCATACAAAATGAGCTAATAGCTTAAATTTCTCGTCAAATAAAACACCTAATAGAAGTCTCCGTATACTCTAGCCCAAAAACCATTTTTCGGACGTGGCAGCACTTTCGTTATTACCCCGAAAATCGGGGTAATAATAATAACCAAATAAAAATTATAAAAAAGTATCCAAGGTACTTCCTTCGATTTCACAATTTTTCGTTAGAATCTATCAATCTTCAAATTAATTATGTAGATGATACGCTGCATTCTCCGATGCCTATTCAACTGAAGCGGTTTGTATTGATATGAAAATAATAGATTGGCGCTTACACAATATGTTAGTGTTTGGCCAAGTTTCTCCTCCGATTTGTTGCTGCGTTTTGATGTTGTCACGCAAAGGTGAAGGATCTACAGTTTTACGCCGACTTCGCCTGCGATTGCATTTTTATGAGAAGCTGTATTTCATGGCACAAATACACTCGGGGTTTGCCATTTTTTGTCGGGGGAAGACCGACATTAGAAAAAACTTTTTAATGTTTTATTTTTTGGTGTTGGTTGGAAGCTATGCTCACGTCCTGCTGAAAACCAGCGCGCATTGCTAACGGCTTCAAAACTCAACCAGTTCGAAACACAGTAAAAACCACTGACTTCAACAAAATATAATTGTAATCAAAGTCATTTTGTTTTATTACAGGTGAAATACAAATATCTACATATCCTGGACGCATCATTGTCACAGATCCAAAAGGCATGGTGCAACCGCGTATAAACGTCGAAAAGCATTCTCTGCGACATGTTGTTCTTAATGGACAAACAACGTTGCCATGCATTGCTCAAGGCCATCCAGTGCCAACATATCGGTAGGTACATTTACATACATACTTATATTGAATACACTTAGGTCTCTTTTTATGCGGTACATGCGTTCCTCAGAAAGCCGCATAAAAAAAATCCGCATACAAAAGTTCTTTACTTTCGTACAAAAACAGGGGATGCGTTCCAGCTGTTTCAAAAACCGCATAATTTCAGATACTACGTGTAAAAAATCCTAAAAAAACCGCATAAAAAAATCCAGTGAGGCAAAGGTACTTGCTATGAATGGCGTTAGAAAAGTCGATACAAATACTTAAGGAGTTAGGACACCTTACGAAAAATACTTATAACTGAAATATATATAAAAAAAAAATAATCAAATAAAAACACTTAAATAGGACTTTACTCCTTCATAAAAGACAAATAATAAATTAGATTCTACATAAATAATATTTTACGGTATTTCGAAATTGTCTAGTTAAGAAACTAAAGTTAATTGAGAAATTGCCAGGCCTTCAATAGCATCAAAAACTAACAGGACAATTCTGTCAAATGTCTTTTGTAAGAAAATGGTCCATTCTAGCAACCAGCGTTGCCGAAAGCTTTCGCTGTAGAGCTGGAAAACTATGGATGGCTCTATCGATAGTATCGATGGTTTTTGACTATCGAAAACATCGATGGTTTTGGTAAGCACTATCGATAGTTTTCACTCATACATACATACATACAAGTAAACTAATTTCCAATAAAAGGTTTAAAGGTTTATATGAATATTTTTTATTTTAAGGAATTTAACCTTTCTGTTCGATATTTTCTTAAGAACTGAAAAACTATGACAAAAATTTAAATTCAACTAACAATTATTTCCAAATACTGCTGAATAATATTAACATAAAAAGAAATACAGTAATTGCTAATTAATTTTAAAACATGGAATATTAATAAAAATTTTAAGTAAACTAATAGTAGAAATCAATATATTAAATAAGAAAACTTCTAACAATATAATTCAAATATTTTTGCATATAGTTTTCCTTCATTTATTTTATAATTATTGATTTATATAATTAAATTATTTAATAAATTTATTATTTCCTTTTATAAAGTTATTGATTTTAAGGGTCCTCGAAATTGAGCAACTTCTATTTTGTTTGGATTACTATAATGATATTTATTAAATTTCTTAGCAGTTTTCTGTGTGTATGCAGCTGGATTTTTAGTATATGAGTTAGGTTTATTTAATTCCAAATTTTTATTTTTCCTTTTCATATTTATTCTATCAATTATTATTATTTTTTTCTGTTCTTGTTTTTATTTCTTCAAAATTGATATCTAATTTATTTATAAAATCAATCGGTTTTAGTTTAGTTGTACTATGAATAGTATTATTATAGAAGCTTATCGACTTAAGAACCAACTCTTTTGAATCATTAATGTTATTGCCATTTTTTAATATTCTGATGTGTTCAAGAAGCGTCGAATGCAATCTCTCTATATCTGAATTCCCAGTGTGAGAATTTGGTGTTGTATAATAAGATTCTATATTATTT